CTAAACAGGTGCCTAGGGCGGCAAAATTTGTGTATGAACTATGAAAACACTCAGATTTGCTTGCGAAAATGATATTGATCCGTTTTTACGTTTTCCAAACTCAAAGCACGAAAAGTAAAATTTTGATTCTCACTTTTGTTTTAGCAGCATTACCCTACGACCCTTATTACATAGTTTAACAAAAATACGTTAACTATACTATATATGTAAAGCAATATATACCTATAATTGTAATTGTTTTGATTAAAGTCAAATGAAATCAATACATTTGAATTTTGAACCTTTTTTAATAGTTACATCTTTGCTATACATGGGAGGGCACACACCTTGAAGTCTTGCCTAGGGCAGGGGTCTCCAAACCTTTTTTGGACAAGGGCCGGGAGGTAGATCTTTTTAGGCTTCGCGGCCTGAGGGGTCGTAGTAAAATTAAGTAGAAATGAATACATTATCAGATTGGCTTTTGCTCAATTACATTTTATTTTTTGTTTTTATAATATTAAAAAATATATTATTACTTTAATAAACTGTTGGCGGGCCGGATAAACCGAAGTCGTGGGCCTAGGGCACCAAATACCCTTGCACCATCCTTGTGTATTTCGGAAATAACAAGCCGAGTTTAAATACTTGCGATACCACAAGAGATTTCCTGCACTTTAAGGAAGTTATATGAGTGACGATCAATCCCTTGGTGTGGATGGTTGGTGATAGGGTGCTGCTGCCTGGTTACTTCCTTCTGATCAGTGGTTAAAAATTAGGGACGGTGGCAGAGAGCCGTAGTAGTTTTACCATAAATACAAATGGGAGCCATGGCTCCATATTTAACACCTATATATTTAATTCATGACAAATTCCTGACCATTCAATGATGCAATGTTGCCACGCCTAAATATACGACTAGATGAGTATATATATATATATATATGTATGAAACTTTTCGAAAAAAATCACACAGCAAGATTGTTAAAAGATGTGGAGCCAAAGGACACACCACTTCAAAAAGGAAACCTTCAATGCTTTCCATAGAAGCGAAAACTTGTACAGCAGGGAGTTTAGGACTGCAATGTGCCCCAAAACCAAATCTCAGTCCAATCCAGTACAATACATTAATTAGCCAAGGAACAGCTGCGGTTAAAAATAGAAGAAGAGAACCCTCTGTTACAAACCACACCTTGAAAGCAACGTCTTCGTAATAAAGAGTGCCAAAGAAAGTGAAATCACATCAATTCCTAATTGTTCAATGTACCTATCAAGCCACAAGCTCCCCCTCTGAAACTGTAATTGACTTTTTTTTGTTTTGTAAGCAATGGCATAATTAGATAATTTCTCAAAACATGTCCATACTTGCCATACTTCGCACAAGCAATATAAAGTCTTCTCTCTAGTCTGGAACTTCCTTGATGTCTTATCGATGGTTCACGATGAGAGAGTTAATTTTGAGTTGAAGTAGGTACAATTCATTTAATAGGGAGTTAGCTAGCTCTGTAGTTCTCGCTGATCACACACCAATTACAAGTTATATAATATCTTCGTAAAAGTACTAATGTCCGATGTGAATCCACTGAAGTTGAATGATTTGCAATGTTCGAAATTTATAAACGTTCCTGGTCAGTATATCTGAAGTTCCAGATTAATAAGCTTTAATTACAGTTATAGCTTACGAATTTTATAGCACACCAATTACAGCAACCCAATAATAGATACTCTTTTTTGGAGCGTCGCGTTGGTTATATTTATAGGCGTGTGAAG